TTTCCCCCACTGTATACTACAATAGATCAATTTACTGGTCGCAGTAGTGTTAAGTCCCGAACAGAGGAAAAAAAAAAAGAGAATTGATCAATGTAGATAGGACCTATTGAAAAGTGACGCGAGATTTGTTTTCCGTACTGAGCTCCAATGCTACCGACGCCAGGAAGGCAGCTCCCACACCTGGACCCTACCAATCGACCCATCAACTCAACCGGGGACCAACGGCTTTACTTCCCGAAGGAAGGCGTTCAGAGATTTTATGCCTTAGAACATGCCGGTGGCGCCGACTGAGATTGGACCCAGGCCTGCTGGGGTGAGAGGTAATCACGCTAACCATCGGCGCCGATATATTTCAAGGTGATATCATGGCGAATGAGATCGACCCAAATTTGAGCTTAGTTATCTCAGAAATAAGAAATAAAGTGCAGGAACTCAGCGATGAGTAAATTTGCCTCATGTTTTCCCAGGGAAAAATTCCCGAATTTGAGAAAAGTGAAGATTGGATTCACTCAGTCTATTGGTACTACCATAGAGGTAACTCTAAGACTAGTAGGTCCCGAAGAAAATCATTATTATTTTTGGCTCACTCAGTACCAGAACGACGGTCCCAAGCAGTCCCAAGCTATTTCACTCACCCCTGCATGTTCTGCATGAATCCACACACCCCTGATGTTATCTGTCAAACTTTCATAGCGAATCAAAACAAACATAGTGTAGTAATAGAATTTCAACTAGTATAGGGTACGTTAATCGTTTGCTTGGGACCAATAGACTATTCAAGTAGTGAGCCAATTTAAAATCGTTAGTTTCGTATTGATTGTTGGTACTACTCCGAGACTGAATAAAATTTTCGTCAATTTCCTCATTTTCTAGCAGATTTTTTAGGTTTTCCACAGGAAACCATGAGACAAATTTACTCATCGCTGAGTTCCTGCACTTTTGGCGATTATGAGTGAACTAAACTCAAATTTGGGTCGTTCTCATTCGCCGTGTACGCAAAAGTAAAAGAGCCAGTGTCACTATACTTGATAGCAAACTACACGGATAGAAATTTCCTTATACCTTTTGGCAAATTTCTATTGCTGATTATTCATAAAATGTATAAGTCAGTTTATAAGCAGGCGCCTTGCAAAAAGTTAATGAAGATGATGTGTCAAATGAAATGGATAAGTGGTCACACATACCTTTTATGCATTCTTATAGGACCTATGTGATTTGTCTTATGGAATGTATAAGGCTGATGGTTTGGCAAAAATGTATAAGTGAAACACATGAATAAAATAATTGATTTTCGTTTCGTTTACTTATAATGGGAGGAGTTTTTGTAGCTTTTATACCACTTGGTTGCACATCATTCTGCTTTAACCTGAAAAGATATAAAAGAACGCAGCTGTGTAACATTAGCTCATTTTCGCTTCGGACGGCGTGGTGAACAGCAATAGCAGCAGTAGGAAGGTGGTGGCTACTCCACTTCTTCACAACTAACAAGCAAAAATTGGCTGGTCGTGGCAAAGGAGGCGCCAAGCGTCATCGCAAAGTTCTTCGAGATAACCGCCATCGGTCGTCTGGCTCGCCGTGGTGGTGTCAAACGTATCTCCGGTATGATCTACGAGGTGTGCTGAAGGTGTTCCTGGAAAATGAGGTCCGTGATGCTGTCACCTACACTAAACACGCCAAGCGTAAGTGGCCATGGATGTCCTCTTCAATAAAACGGCCCTTTTCAGGGCCATCAAGCTTACATCAGTAAAGAGTTGGAATAGAATTTATCTGTGCTTGTTTGTCCATATTCAGAACCACAAGCCCCCAACGACCACACAAAATGCTCTCCAGAGTTGTAATCGTGTAACCAAACTTGGAAGCAGGGGTGCAAGTGATTTTGATTGATTCTCTTAATCAACTTTCTCTTTGAAAAAAATGACTACAAATTTGGTACGCCTACAATTCAAAAACGGAAAGAGTTGAGATAATAGATAATTGATCAATTAAAAGAACTAAATGCTCTTCACATTTATTCCGTCCACTAGCGGTCCTACGTCAAGCTTCCGTTCGTGCTCCTAGGCACAGACCCTTCTACTTTTTTTGTGGACGGAAAACATGTGCGCAAATTTCCAGCAAGATGGAAATATGCCACTGAAGAGAGACATTCGGAACAGGCGAAGAAGCGGAATTAACAAGCTAGCAATATGTCTCTTCAAAAATACAGATGGAACTCCATCAGGTCCAGGATTGAAGGATGACTTGAGCAAAGTCGCGACCTTAGAAATCATGCATTAACATCAATTTCACCCAGCGTTTGATCATTTGCTGGAACGTTCCTGGCAGCCAGGTTAATATGGTCGTCAGTTAGTATCTCATTAGTGAATACACTGGCAAACTTTTCGGAAAAAAGGTGGCATATATCCTGAACGGTGGCAACAACTACTCCGTTGAATTCCATAGACGATGGGAGGCCGGATGCCCTGCGTTGCTCATTCACGTAGTTCCAAAAGGATTTCGGATGTAGCTAAGTTTGCGTTGGAAACTTGAAAAGCATTCACGACTGACTCGCTGGTACATGTGATTCAGCCTCACATAATGTAGTTTCAGAGGAAGCGTGCGATACTTCGTAAATCTTCTCAATGCTGCTCTCTTGATTGACTTCAACTTACGTAGCTCTCTCATCTGCCAGGGAGGGTGAGACACTTTGTGGTGAGTTCTTTTCGGGACGTGTCTGTCAATGACATATGCCAAGGCATGTGAAAAGGTTTGTCTGGATCTCTAGATGTTCTCCCATACCATGCTAGACAATACATCTATGATGCTACGGTGGTCAGCTTTACGGAAGTCATAAGAAACCGTAGCAGGATAATTGTCGAAATCACGCACGAGTTTTATCCTAAACAGTGACAATTAGAGGAGGGTGATGTGGAACTAGCTTAGTTAGTGCACAAGAAGCCGAGGAAATTAATGGAGCCCTGTCCTGTGTGCTCACGAAGCAGAGGTCCAAACTACGATCATTTTTGTTAACTACATAGTTAATTTGAGAAAGCGTCACTGTGCTGTAGTTGTTGAGAAGGCTAATAACTCCTGCGTGAAATGTAGAGCTATCAGGATCTGGGTACAGGAATCCGCTATGAGATGGACTCCACGAAACGCCTGGCAGATTGAAGTCACCAAAAATGAATATCTCATCAACTGGAGTGGCACTTTCGATAACTGTGAAAACTGACCGACAGTGAGTATCGATGGGTTCATGTCCCGGACTCGATCAGGTGGAATGTACAGAGCGCATGGAAATAGTGTGCGATCACCCAGGCTGTCCAAACCTGCTCCACATAGTTCCATGTTTCGTTCTCGATGGCCTTTGCCTCCAAACCGCCACGGACAGCTACAAGGACACCTCCAACAGTAGATTACGGCTGTTGTTAGGATTCCGATCGCAACGAAAGACCTCGTAGTCAGCACCGAAGGCTTGACTGGAAAGCGTTCGATAATCGCACAGGACAATTACATCGTAGCAACAATCGGATACGGCTAGCGGTACTCTTCAACATCAGAATTCATTCCACCGGCTTTGGTAGAAGATCATGACGTCCTGCTTCCGGCAAGGGATCGAACGACTGCTCTCCCTGGAAATCACAGATACATCAGGCAATAATTGACCATATCAAGTCTCATTGGATACTCGCCATAGTGAGTCGGTTGGAAGACCCCCCGTATTAATTAATAAGCATTTGGTAATCAAGTTAAGTAGATTCGGGGTAGTGTCATAACGTCGTTGACATGTTGTATGATGTTATACCGCCGCCACACCAGTGGGTGCCTGACCATAGGTATGTGTTCACAAGCGGCCCTCCACGCACACGTGTTCGGTTATTAAAAAGTAGGATCGAAAGGATTTTTAGATTACCATGTGTGGACAAACCGGAGCTATTTACCATTATCCAAATGCTTGCGGGGCTTATTGTATGTGAAAGTGACATCGGAATGGACGAGAATTACCAGGCATTCTGAAATGGGTTGGTGGATCTGCGGTCGATACGGATTGCATAGAACATGATATATTTATTCGTAAAACGGCGGTATACGTGCATTATCAAATAATTTAGAGCATAATATAAAAAAAATACTAGAAAGTTAAGAATAGAAACAATTATAAATATAGCAATGGTCCAATTTTGTCAGCCCTTTTTTTGAAAATCTTTGCTCATGTTCTGCGAAACTCTGCGCTTTTCCATTGGCATTATAGCACCAAAGTATACCTTAAACATCCATCTTGAAGATAAATTAGAAATATTTGGAATTACGGTTATACGAAATTATTGCAAGATAATAGTCTGATGCGCGGAGGTGCTGACAAAATCAGACCATTACTGTACTTCAAATATCGAAGACATCCAAACATCTTAAACAAATCTGATAATTTACTCGAAATTTTTACTAGTGCTGAAAGATCGTTGTAAGTAGGTATTCTGAAAACTTTTTTTGCTTTACACTGGCCAAAATAAGGTTTAAGCCTTGCGATGAAAATGCAAACTTTCTGTTGTACGATGGGTGAATATAAACTCTGCTTGAACATGAGGAAAATCAAAGCATTTGGAATCAACCTAATTCCATACAGAGGCGTAGTGAGGAATTACGGTGCCCTTGGTAAATATTGTAAATAACGCCTTTTTCCAAATTGAAAACGTACCAGGTTTTGACGGCGCCGGTGGTTGAGTGGTAAACATGACAACATTTCTTACCCCATATCCCAACTGAAGTCGTTGGAATTTTCTGAGGCGAAAAAACTGTCGCCTCCTTGGCGTAAGTGATTGGCACTTGAGTGGAGGAACAGATACCGACAGAAAATAAGCAAAGAAAAGTACCAATGTTTCAACCAAATCTATTATTATATATAGTACTACAAGACGTCAGCATATTGTAGACGAAAATTTCGTTATTTTCGATATTAATTTAATATGAGAAGCACCACCATAGCTTCTTGGATTAATTTCGGATCAATAAATTACAGCAAAAAATAGAATAACTTACATTTTATTGCCCGTCCTCTTGTTAGTTTATCGGTTGATGTCTTCGGAAGTGATCATCACAGTCTCTTCCTCGCTGCTGCTTGATACTTCAACGTCATTCATCCTAGCCATCGCTTCCTTTGACTTCTTCTTCTTCTTATTTTTCTTCTTTTTGGCAGATTTCTTATCCTGCGGTGCTTCAAGTTCCATTGGATCCTCAGGAATCCATTGATCCTTCTCATTGGTAGCTTTTGGTAGCAAGATAGCCGAATTTTCAGCTATTGGAACTACAGTTTCTTCCGTGTCCATTGGTTCTTCTTCTGCTTGGATGTCGTCTGTATCTCCAATATCTTGTTGTTCCAGCTCTTCTAATTCGTCATCCTGATTTACATCTTCTTCTTCTTCTTCGGCCTCTTCGTCCTGGTCGTTGTTGTCCAACTTGAACCGTTTCAAACGAATTTGCAATCTATCTTGAGCTAGCGCTGTGATTTCGTTAAGCCGGATGCACTCGCTAAATCCTATCGGAATATTTTTCTTGCGTTTCTCTGCATCTTCTTGAATGACATCTTTGATTTTCTGAACAATAGTTTTTGCCCGTTTAGCTGCTTTAGTGGCAGTTCGCAGTAATAGATCTGAGCTTGTTAGGGTAATTCCTCCCAAATGTATGCCACATAATTCACCGTAGGAATTCATCCCAAAAACAATTTTCGCTTCGGCTACTCGTTCCTCCAGGTAAGTTGGATCGGCGACAGCCAACTTACCCTTGTTGAAAATTCCATAGCTGACACAAATAGGAAAATGATTGATACCGATAGGAATCGGATCCCTTTCATACATCGTATGGATAATAACCTCCTCTCCATTAAGACTAACATCAGGACGCTTGAAATGAGCCAGCGCGGTCAGTGCAGCCATTGAAGCACAATCGATGACATTACCTTCATGATTGAGAACGTTTATGTCCACGCGCAGATTCCAAACCTTTTCATCAGCAACCAAACAAAGAGATTCTAGATCCACACAACCAGAATCCTTGATGGCCCGTTCTAAAATCCTATTCAGTTGCACACCAGCATCCGATTGGCGCCCTGATTCGAAGTGAGGAGCAGCCATAGAACCTAGTTCCACGTTGATGAACAGTGTTCCTTCATTTGGACGGGTAGCTCTAGGAGCTACTACCTCGCAGCTGACCTGGGCTAGCACTCGTGTTTCTCCCAAAGATACATGGACGCTGCCCCACTCGGCTCCGAAGTTGATGCGTAGTTTACGAAATTCGTCTAGAGATCGACCGTCAACTCGCTGGAATTCAGAAAATTGGTAATTACAAACCATGTTCTTAATATGTATCAGAATTTGTTTTTACCGTCGATTCCAGCAAGGCTTTTTGCACAAAACCTTTCTCATTATTTGATATCATACGCTCCTTCATGGTGGTTAATAAGTTTGTATGTTTTTGTAAAAAAATATCCAGAAATTAAAACTACTGAACCATCCACCGCATATTTTTGTTTACATTAAATTTTAACACATTGCTCGCACCGCGCGTGGATTTTGACATTAAATGATTTTATTTTCAAATGATGAGGTATCAGCACATTACACCGAGAAAAATACACCTATTGTATGCACGCTAATCTAAAACTCTCCAAATTTGAGTAAAATCCAATCAGATTGGTTAAAACTGAACCTTCCGAAAAATGGGTAAACTATGTTGAGAATGACAAGTTGAAAAATGAACAACGTCGATCACATTCATTTCGATGTCAACTTTTCACTCCCAACACAGTTTTCCCCTTTTTTTGGGTAGGTTCAGTATTTATCGATCTGGGTGGATTCTACCCTAATTTGGGAAGTTTTAAAATAGCGTGAAATGGTGTAACCATCGAGGAATATGGGCCTGCGCATTGCTTAAACGCTATCTGGTTGTGATTTATGGAACTAATTGTTTATACCGAGAGTCCGAGACAACGAAAAAAGCTTACACGCTCGTTCAATTTTACTCAAAAGTAAGTAAAAATCCACTCACTTTCGTTAAAAGTGGAACCACCGACGACCCGACAGGAGCATTTCGTTTGTCCACAATTCGATTTGTCTAACAAGCGATCCGAACTTTCAAACGGTCAATCAGATCTGTCAAGCGAGGTGAGACGCAAACCATGGCAATATAAATTCTACGTGGGTTCGTGTCCTTGCTCATGATATGACGCGGTAGTGTTTCACGTATTTTAAATATGGTGTCTTGGGCAATGAGTGTTGCTTGTATGAGCTGTCACGTCGGTTCGTCGGTGGTGGAACTACTATAAAGTGAGTAAACCCATAGTTACTCACTTTTGAGTAATGAATGTATTTGTCAAATTTAGAGTAACGTCTACTCAGTTCTGTATTTGGTAAAATAAGCAAAACTGAGTAAATGATACTCAGTTCTAATAAAATTATAATTTTTGAAAATGAGTTATTGAGTTTATCATTTAATACAATTTTAGGAACATAAATATATCTAACGATGTTTATTCAAAAATAAACACGTAATAATATTTATCATGACAATGCAAAGTTATTTTAATATGTCCACTTTCTGGATTGAAGAACATCTTGGTAAAACCCTCTCGCAGACTGGGAATTGGTACTCCTGAAATGGAAGGGAATTTGATCTATCTACACGGAATCCATTGAGAGGCATACCATTGTGCTTGTTGATTGGCGATGGGATGGACTTGTTCCAAGAAATTAATCGATGGCTGTAGGACGGATCTCACTCTTATTTGGTTGTATTCCAAATAATGACTACCAAATTAGAGAGATATATCCGCCCTACAGCCATCAGTTAATTAAAGCACACGAAACGGTTCAACGGTTTGAGGTGTATCGGTAGCTCGGTTTAGTCGAAAACCATTTGCCATCTCCATCCTCTAGCCTCTAACCTTCCTTCTCCTTGGATGTGGCATGCATGAAATTACGAAACTGAGTAGAAGTTAGCCTATTTTGAGTAAAATAGAACGTGCGTGTAGAGAAATGATTCGACAGTGAGCATACACTCAAAAATATTACAAACCGAATATACACTCAAAAAATATTGAAATCTAAATAGTATAAAAGTGACGCTAAATCGCAACTCTCCGTACCGACGCAAAGGTCGGTATAAAATGAGAGAATGCAAACTTAGTATAAAAATGGTTTATGCGTGCCATAGTATAAAATCGAAATATACTTACAATGAATAGATACGGTCTATTCGAGAGAATGTATGTTTCGCTTCTTTATTTTATTTATGGTAAATATTATTGTTTTCAAATTAAAATTAAAATTGTCTCAGGAGGGGTTTTTAATAATTTTATTTTTATGAACATTATTTAAAAAATACTTACAATTTCGATGTTCATTATGATGAACTCGTGCTCACGCATGCTAGCTGCCCAGCAGATCACAGGCGCAGTAGTAACATAGAGGTAACTCTAAGACAAGTAGGTCCCGAAGAAACGTGCTCAACTTTTTGGCTCACCTCTGGTACTATCTTCGGTCCCAAGCTTGTCGAATCACCCCTCGAAACATAGGAAAAACCAATAACCCCTCATTTTATCTGTCAAACTTTCATAGCGAATCAAAACAAACATTGCGTAGTACTAGAATTTCGACTAGAATAGGGTACGTTAATCGTTTGCTTGGGACCAATAGGCTACTAAAGTGGTGAGCCAATTTAAAATTGTTAGTTTCATATTGATTGTTGGTAGTAACATAGAGGTAACTCTAAGACCACTGGGTCCCGAAGAAAATCATTATTATTTTTGGCTCACTCAGTACCAGAACAACGGTCCCAAGCAGTCCCAAGCTATTTCACTCACCCCTGCATGTTCTGCATGAATTCACACACCCCTGATGCTATCTGTCAAACTTTCATAGCGAATCAAAACAAACATAGTGTAGTAATAGAATTTCAACTAGAATAGGGTACGTTAATCGTTTGCTTGGGACCAATAGGCTACTAAAGTGGTGAGCCAATTTAAAATCGTTAGTTTCGTATTGATTGTTGGTAGTAATCCGCCGGGATGAAGCTCTTCACCAGCACGAAGCTCCGAAGAGAACCCAGATATTCTTTTTCCCATCATTTTAGTAAACACTGATCGAATTCCACTCCGTTATTCGGACTTAGTATAATTTTGACGAAAATTTTAATCTTACCAATGTATAAATTTTGAAAAACCATAAAATGCATACAATTTAATCTATATTCGATTTGTAATATTTTTGAGTGCAGAGCTGTAACAGGTTGTATTGGCTATCAAAACCAACAGCAAACGTAACGAGAAACGTTAATTCTAGCGAGTAATTAACAAAAGAGAAAATCGACGATCTATCATCTCGTGTACGCCCTTATGCATGCTCACTGTCGAATTATTTCTCTAATAATAAATAATGCCATTTCTAATTACAAGTTTCAAAAATTTCGTAGTTTTAAGCCTGGTACGCATCTGAAAAGAAAACGGAAAATAATTTTTTGGGGACTATTCCCAAAAGAAAATTTGACAGGTAGTGGGAGATTGCTACAAAAACTCAACGCAAATGTCGCAACTGCTTGATGATGGTAAAGTTGACCTAAGAGGAAGAGGATAATAAGGAGACTTTTATGAATCAATTTTCTGTCAAACGTGAACCAGCGCCTGATTGGTCGATGGAACGTATAGACACGCGAGAATTTTTACAACAGGGAATCTATTTTCTTGTATTTTGACAGTCGACTGCGTCGCCAATAATGAAAAAGTTTTTGCACGGTCGTTTCCGCGAGAGAAGAAGAACACGTCACAAACAAAATATGCCAGTTGTCTCCTCTTCCTCTTAGATGTTGACAGGCCGCATATACAATTCGTGAAAATAGGCATTAAATCATAATTTTCATCAAGCCTGCGTAAAATCCTTCCAAAATAATCTTCTAATTGAAGAGGAAAACGTTTTCCGATCAAACCGATGTGCATCTTTGACTTTTCCAGATAAACTTTCAGATATATCCATTGCAAATATGATGTAAACAGAAGTAAATTGCTGAATTACTCAAAATAAAGATGATTTGTTCAACGGCGCCGGTGGTGTAGTGGTAAGCGTGATTACCTCTCACCCCAGCAGGCCTGGGTTCAATCCCAGTCGGCGCCGCCGGGATGTTCTGAGGCATAACATCTCTGATCACGCCTTTCTTCGGATGGGAAGTAAAGCCGTTGGTCCCCGGTTCATGAGTTGATGGGTCGATAGGTAGGGTCCAGGTGTGGGAGCTGCCTTTTTGGCACGTCGGTAGCATTGGTGCTCAGCACGGAAAACAAGATCGACGGAAAAAAACAAACCAAAGGGAAAAAAAAGATGATTTGTCATTGAATTCATCTAGCACTAATTTATAGTATGGTGCGTGTCATAGACGTAGCTAGAGATGGGCAGGAGGGGGGGGGGGCACTCCCTCCCCATAAACTCAGCAACATAAAGGCTTTCGGTGAAATGGAATTCGGCCAAATTTTCCATAGTATTTTTTTTCGCCCCTCCCTAGCTCGAAACCTGGCCATTGGTGCATGTTGAATAAATGAGGCTCTGTTGCGTTTTCCGTCGAATGTTTTTAGTGGCGTTATGTTTGTCTGTGATACAATCTTTCGTAAGTAAATTCATTTAATTTCCACAAGAGATGAACTAGCCTGTGGCTAAAAATCTCTTAAATAAAGGACAAAAAAAAATTTCCACCTGATTCTTAGTGTGAATCACTTTGTGAATCACACATATTAACCATTTTCTGGAAAATGCACCTGCTTAGGAGATAACCTCTCATGTGAGTGCAAACTTGTTATGAACTATTTTCCATGAAAACATCGCCGATCCATACCAAAATAATAGCAGTTAGTTTGAAAACACGTCTTCTTACGCGAATCATGCAAAAGTTTAAACGGGAAATTATTAGTTTTTCTTTATGGACCGATTTGCCCCGAAAATCGTTTGTTTTACTTGGGGAATTTAGAAACTGTCCTCCTTCTAGTAGATCTATATCGAAATGTAGGTGGCGTCGTCGATTTTCTCTTTTGTTAATAACTCTTCGTCGATTTTCTCTTTTGTTAATAACTCGCAAGATTTAACGTTTCTCGGTGCGTTTGCTGTTGCTTTTGATGGCCAATACAAACTGTAACAACTCTGAATTGAACAAATTCTAGAAAATTGTTTCGCTTAGCTGTAGAACGGTACTAATGGATATTTAGTTTTTTTTCTAACGAGCTCGGCTGTGCAAATCACGACAAAAAAAGTTTCGCTGAGATCTCAGCTGAGTCTCGGATAATGTACGTACAGACTACAGAGTTATAACATGTTATAGCGCTATCTTGATGGTGGTTTCTGTGTTGCAATTATTTGACAACCGTTATAACATGTTATAACTCTTCAGTCTGGACAGCGTTTTAGCTGAATCTCAGAAAACAAATGAAATGTTTGCTGAGATCTCAGTAAAACTTTTTTGTCGAGATTTGCACAGCCGAGCTCGGTAAAAAAAACTAA